AAAGAAAAAAAAAAAAAACTCACACAATTGTACTTATCGAATTACATAAAAAATTCTCTCTCAAAATTTTATACCATAAACAAAATTTTGAACAATTTGGGAGGACAAACAAACTGCTTCACACTCCTTTGATATGTTCCAAGACTACACAATAAATAGATAAGAAAATTTGACATGAGAAAGAAAGTGAATTCCAATTAAACAACAAATCTCTCCATGCAATCAAAACACAATTTTCAAATAATGAATTAGTAAGATATTCCAAAAATAAAAAACTAGCTGTTGGAAACATTTAAGAGCTCAAATTTTAAAAAATAATAATAATTGAATTAGACACATAAAAATAAAACTTAAATTGTTTGTTAAAAATACCAATAAATAAAATTCCTTTCATAATCATTGTTTTCATAGTGTTCCTTTGTCTTGGTATATAGTTTTCATACAATTTTAAAATTTAGGCCAAATGTAGTTTTCAAAATAATTGTTTCTTAAATTTGGGTAAAAATTTAAATATGTTTTTAAAAGGTGTGAAACTTACCCATCAAATTGTATAAAAATAAATATAATTTTGTTCATGTATTGTATGAAAAAAAATAATTGATGTGCTAGAACATCTGAAATTTATAGATTAGAAATAAAATAAACTCCAAACTTACTTCGAGAGTAAAACAAAATTTAAATTATTGGTTTAAATATTATTTTGGTTATTGTATTTTCCACTCTCGTTTATCAGCCCCTCTAGTTTCAAAACGTTTTGGTTACCTACTTTAAACTTTTGTTCATTTTAGTATCTATAATTTCAAAATATTTGTTTCGGTCCATGTATTGTTAAAAAGTGGCAAGTCCATTCATTTCCATCTATCTTATATTTTTCTATCATAATTTTAATATGACAATTCCTTCGATAAATTTCTTGAAATGTAGCTATATATTCAAGAATTTTTGTTTTGTATAAAATTTGTGACTTTGATTAGGATGGAAGGACTTTGTTGAACTTCTTCTCCTCATTTAACTGAACATGCCAGAATATAAAAAAAATCAACAAAGAGCGTGACTCAGATTAAACGACTTTTGACTTTGCGTTTTGCATTTTAGGAATACTTTAGGGAGGCATTCACTAGGGGTGTTCATGGGTTGGGTTGTATCGAGTTAGTGTTGGATTGGTATGACAACACTAGAGAGGGGGTGAATAGTGTTGAAGATCAATTTACTAAACTTTTTCAATTTTAAGTATAAATCAAATAACTAAGTAAACTTTTTAAACAAAAACAATTTAGACACAATTTATACAAACTCAAAATATCATAAAACAAATAATCAAGATAAACACAATATATATTTGTAATAAAAGAAAATATAATTAAAAGATAAATGACAATAAATACAAAGTAAGGGATAGAGAAAACGTCGCGCAGGAGATTTATAGTGGTTTTGCAAACCCTCGACCTACTCCACTTCCCAAGCACCTCTCGAGATTTTCCACTAAGCACGATTCTTTTACCGATTCAAGATCGGAAATCTGGTCATTTTACGGGATCAAGATCAAACCTTACAAACTGCTTTTTTTACGGGATCTAGAACTAAAACCAACCCTTTTCTCGAGACAAAGAACAAAACCCACACTTCGTTCCTTTTACCGGGCTCAAGAACGAAACCCAACTATGTGTGAAAATAAACTTTTTTTTCACACACTAAAACTCTCAAATAGAGTGGATGTACAAGTTTAAGCTCACAAATATATCAATCATCACAACAAGAAAATCTCTCACAATAAAAATGAAAGTAAAATTGAGAGCTTGGGGAGAACAATAATGAATTACAGATGATTTGAAAATAAGAAAATTGGTATGTAAAAATGAGAGAGGAGAGTGGTTTAAATAGGAGAGGAAAGTGGATAAAAAATTATTTAAAACTAAAAACAATTTGGGTCATTGGATCTTAATGATGAAGAATGAAAGATAGAGATTGAATTATAAAAAGTAATGATTACGTTACATTATAATAATAATAATATTATTATTATACATATATGTATATGTATGTATATATATGTATATATATAATGTATATGTATGTATGTATGTCTATATATATGTGTGTGTGTATGTGTATGTATATGTATGTATATGTATATGTATGTATGTGTATATATGTATATGTATATGTGTAACGGTAACTAGGATTTTCTTTTTTTTCAAACAGTAACTTCTTTCTTTTCTTTTCTTTTTTTTTTCAATTTTTTTTCATTTTCATTTTCTTTC